TCTCTTTTTTTTTTTTTTTGTCCAGAGACCGAGTCTCACTCTGTCACTCAGGCTGGAGTGCAGTGGCATGAACATGGCTTACTGCAGCCTCGACCTCCCAGGCTCAAGTGCTCTTTCTCTCTCAGCCTCCTGAGTAGCTGGGACCACATGGGCACATGCCACCATGCTCACACATTTTTAAATTTTTTGTAGAGATGGGGTCTCACTTTGTTGCCCAGGCTGGTCTTGAACTCTTGGGTTCAAGTGATCCTCCCATCTTGACCTCCCAAAGTACTGGGATTACAAGTGTAAGCCACTGCACTTGGCCTATGTTTTCAGTTCCCTTGGGTGTATATCTAGTAGTGGAATTGTTGGTTATATGATATCTTTATTTATTTATTTAGAGACAGCCTCGCTCCATCACCCAGGCTGGAGTGCAGTAGCACAATCTTGGCTCACTGCAACCTCCGCTTCCCAGGTTCAAGCAATTCTGCCTCAGCCTCCCAAGTAGCTGGGACTGCAGGTGAGTGGTGTGCTGGGATTACAGGTGCAAGCCGCCGTGCCTGGCCTCTGTGTTTAACCATTTGCGGAACTGCCAAACTGTTTTCCAATTTGGCAGTACCATTCATTGTAGATTCCCACCAGCAACATCTGGCAGCTCTCATTTCTCCATCTCCTCATCAGCACTTATGATTGTCTGTCTTTGATTACAGCCACCTGGTGGGTGTGAAATGGCTTCTCATCACGGTTTTAATTTGCAGTTCCCTGATGTTGAGCAACTTTTCACGAGCTTCTTGGCCACTTGTACATCTTGCTTTGGAGAAATGTCTATTAATATCCTTTGCCTATTTTCAAATTGGATTGCTTGTCTTTTTCATGGCTGTTCAGTTCTGTCATTGCAGCTTAAAGAATGGAAACTGAGGCTTGGAAGGGGGACACGACTGGTCCAGGTATACTGGGCTCACAGGCAGATTGAGATGGAACTTGGGTTGGTCTCCGTCTCCCACCCAGCAGATTGGGGGCCACCTTCTCGCCCCCCTGGAGCACCCCGCTAGGCCATCTCAGGTCTTGTCCTTGCATTTAAAGGGATAGGGCCCCCACAGCCAGAGGATGAGTTGGGAAGTAAGGAAACAGCTGTTCTGAGGAACCAAGCTGGTCCTCTCTTCCTCTCCAAATCACGCGGACCTGGCTGACGTGGCCCGGGAAGAAGGGACAGCCCAGGCCCTGTGGTCAGGAGCCTATTTATACTGGCTGGGCCATGTTGCAAGCTTTTCCTGCTGGTGAGGAGGACGTCACTGATTGCTGACCTCACCAGAAATGCTGACGCATCTTCCCTCATGCTTGGCTGGGATGGACAGTGGCCAGGCCTCCTCACCTCCGGGCCACTCCCTGTCCTCCTCTGCCCCACCTTGCTCTGGATGCTCTGCCAGTGGCCCTAGCCCCTGCACCCTCCAGCCATGCCCTCCTCTTCTAGGCTGCATGGACTGAATGGTGTCTCCCCCCAAACTCCTGTGTTGAAGTCCCAACCATAGTACATCATCAGAACACAACTGTATTTGGAGGTTGAGCCTTGAAAGAAATAATGAAGGGCCAGGTGCAGTGGCTCACACCTGTAATCCCAGCACTTTGGGAGGCTGAGGCAGACAGATCACTTGAGGCCAGGAGTTCACAACCAGCCTGGCAAACATGGTGAAATCCCGTCTCTACTAAAAAATACAAAAATTAGCAGGGTGTGGTGGTGGGCACCTATAGTCCCAGCTACTCAGGAGGCTGGGGCAGGAGAATCGCTCGAACTGGGGGGGCAGAGGTTGCAGTGAGCCAAGATCATGCCACTGTACTCCAGCCTGGGTGACAGAGTGGGACTCCATCTCAAAGAAAAAAAGAGTAATTAAGGTAAAATTGGCCAGATGTGGTGGCACATACCTGTAATCCCAGTTACTCTGGAGGCTGAGGCAGAAGGAGAGCTTAAGGCCAGGAGTTAGACACTGCAGTGAGCTATGAAAGTACCACTGTACACTTAAGCCTGGGCAACACAGCAAGACCTTGTCTTGAAAAAAAAAAAAAAAAAAAAAGAATTAAGGTAAAATGAAGTCACTGAGAGGGCCCTAATCCAGTCTGAATGGTGTCCTTACGAGAAGAGGCAAGGCCGGGTGCGGTGGCTCACGCCTGTAATCCCAGCACTTTGGGAAGCTGAGCCAGGTGGATCACTTGAGGTCAGGAGCTCGAGACCAGCCTGGACAACACGGCGAAACCCTGTCTCTACTAAAAATACAAAAATTAGCCAGGAGTGGTGACGCACATCTGTAATCCCAGCTACTTGGGAGGCTGAGACAGGAGAATCGCTTGAACCCAGGAGGTGGTTTGAGTGAGCCGAGATCACACCACTGCACTCCAGCCTGGGTGACAGAGCTAGACTTCATCTCAAAAAAAAAAAAAAAAAAAAAAGGCCATGGACAAGCAGAAGGAAGATGATGTGGAGACACAGAGAGACGTCATCTACAGGTCAAGGAGAGAGGCCTTAGGAACCCACCCTTGATCTCAGACTTCAGCCTATAGAACTGTGAAGAAAATCAGTCTCTGTTATTGAAGCACCAGTCTGTGGTACTTTGTTACGGCAGTCCTAGCAATGTGATCTGCATGCTCTCCTTACCTTCAGTGACCCTGGGCCCTAGGGCTTGTGCCTGGACCCTCATTAGCTATGTGCTAAGAGTGTGGTCTTTGGGCTTCATTTGAATACACTCTTCTTCTGGCGGGTTTTTTTTTTTTTTTTTTTTTTGAGACAGTATCTTGCTCTGTCACCCAGGCTGGAGTGCAGCGGCACGATCATGGCTCACCGCAGCCTCGACCTTCAGGGGTCAAGTGATCCTCCTGCCTCCACCTCCCTAGTAGCTGGGACTTCAGGTGTGCATCACGACATCTGGATAATTTACTTTTAAATTTTCTGTAAAGACACAGTCTCGAAGTCCTGGGCTCAAATGATCTTCCCACCTCAGCCTCCCAAAGTGCTAGGATTACAGGCGTGAGCCACCATGCCTGGCCCAATGCCCCTCTCCTCTTAACTGTTCGTAGGTGGCCTCAGGCAAAGCAACCTCCTCTCTCTATGCCATAAAAAGACAGCACGACCTCCCTGGACCACCGGGTGGATGGAATAAGCTAAGGCATGTGGCTGTCTCTCCCCAGGTGTGGTGGTCGGTCAGCCATAGCTGAGAGGGTCCTGGAGCCCTCTGCTCAGATCTGGTGCTCCTTTCTTGATCCAGCCCCTAAACTTCTCAGAGCTTTGTGCTCCTCACTGAAGTAAGCCGAGGTGTCTCTGTCCAGTGCTCTCTCTACCTTGGCTGCTGCACGATGAGCTCAGGTGGTCGGGCACTGTGGCTCACACTTGTGATCCCAGCGCTTTGGGAGAGCAAGGCAGGAGGATCATTTGAATCCAGGAGTTTGAGATCAGCCTGGGCAACATAGCGAGATCCCGTCTCTACAAAAAATAAAAAATAGCTGGGCATGGTGATGCATGCCTGTGGTGTCAGCTACTCAGGGAGCATCGCTTCAGTTCAGGAGTTGGAGGCCACCGTGAGCTATGAAGGTGCCACTGCACACCAGCCTGGGTGACAGAGCAAGATCCTGCATTTTAAAAAGGAGAAAAAAGATGAGATCAGGGATGTGAAATGGAGAAGGATCCCCTCTTGGCATGGCTCCAGGAAATGGCATTGTGGGAGTGGGTACAGAGATGACGACTTTAGCGGAAGCGACATTCTCAGGATGAGAATCCAGAACTGGCCCCTGGGAGTGGCGACGGGGAGGTATGGGGCCTGGTGTGGTGAGTCCCAGCCTGGGTGCCCAGGAGTGGGTGGGGGCTGAAGAGCAGCCTCCTGGGCACAGGGTTGCCTATTTTTGCCAACTATGTGATACTCAGACCTAGGAGTGGCTGGTGCACCATGAAGCCAAATAAAGGTTTGTCGAATGAATAAATAAGTGATGGGGAGAATGGGTGGGAACAGCTTTGGTGGTCACACTGGGCCTTGGGAGCAGGCACAGACAGGGTGCCTCCTCCTTTCGGGCTGCCCCCGCTCTCCTTGCTCAGGTGCCCCAGACCTCATGCTCCCTCCAGCTGGAGCAGTTCAGGGGGCTCCCTGGAAGCCCCCAGGGGTCCCACCCTGACTCCCCAGACTCCTGAGGGCCTCCTCCCACCTGGGCTCCTTAGGGTACAGGCCAAGTACCCTCCCCTGAGCCAGGTAGATGTGCTGACGCCACCAGTCAGGGTCTCTAGGCCTGGGCCAGCCTCTCGGCCTCCTTGTCTGCCTTCCCCCGGGCCTCAGTTTACCCCATGGTAAAGTCGCAGGTTGACTGGGGAGGTGCTGTTCCCAGGGCCCTTTCGCAGAGGACCAACCTAAGATCGCTATCTTTCAGAGAAAGTGAAACCTGGTCCCCAACCGTCAAGGCGGTAACTCCCCCTCCCCGGCTTCCCCTCTGAGCTCACAGCTTCCCCATCTCCTCATTCCCCTTCCCGCCCCCTCTACAACTAATACTTGGAATCTGACCTTCATCTTTGCTTTTCCTTTTAAAGGTCTTTTGCCTTTTATGTCCATGATGGCAGCAACCCTGTGAGGTGGGCTGAGAAAGGCTTTTCTCCTCCTCATTTTACACTGGGGGTCTCTGAGGCCCAGGATGGTTAAGTGACTTGCCTCAGGTCACAAAGCACCTCAGCAGACTTGAACCCTGGCCTCTTGTTTCTCTTGCTCCAAGTGTCCAGTTCTCCCCAGTGAAGCCTGTCTACAAAGACAGGGCCTGGCTTCGGGCGGTGGGTCTGGCAGAGGGCAAATGATGGGGGAAAAGAGACGCTCGGAGGCCGGGCTGGGGGATGCTGGTCTGGGGCCTGAACCACAATCTCAGGGCTGCCAGCCTGGGTCTGGCTTTGTGCCCAGAGCCCGGTGGTTTCCGCTCACAGATGTCCCAACAGCCCGGCAACAGAGTGGGAAGGGCACTCAAGAAGGAAGATGTCTCGCTCCCCGCAGCCCCCAGCCACCGTGTCCTGCAAGGCCAATGGCTCTTGGGCCAAGACTGGCCTGGGGCCTCCAGAGGCCCAGCTCGAAGTCCCTCTTGCCCATCCGGGCCCAGTTCCCCGAAGATGGCATGGACCCTCTTCCTCCCCACTCACCCCAGGAAGGCTGAGCTGCGGTTTACATCATCCTTGGGCGTAGGGTTGACCTCGAAGAACGAATTCGAAGAAAACAGGAGGAGGAGCGGGCACACCACCATGCCCAGCACCCATTGGCCACCGGTAAAAATTTTGGTTTTTGGGGTCATGTTCCCAGAAGGCCTGCCCTCCCCCCTCCCCATCCCCACCCACCTCATGAGGTGTTGGCCAATCGCCCCGGCGGGCATAAAGTGGCTGCCAGCCTGCAGGGCTCCCAGCCGGGAGGTGTCACCCCCAGTGGGCGAGGGCTGGAGCACGGGCACCCAGCATGGGGGCACCACTCACACGGAGGACGCTCCTCAGTAAGTACTTCCTTCCTCCCCACCAGAACCCACCTGCTGGGTCTCTCCATGGGCACTGGTGGGGAGCAGGGACACCTTCTGCCCTGCGGGACGGGGGGAGGCTGGGTGCCAGATAGAAGGATGCTAAGAAGGGAAGAGAACAAGGAGGTCAGGCAGAGAGAGAGGTCCACTGACAAACAGGTAGAGAAGGGGCATCCTTGGGAGGCTTCCAGAGGGAGGTGATGTCAAGATGTGGCAACTCTGGGAGCCAGGGAGTGAGAGAAGGGGATGGGCAAAGAGGCTGGGGAGGCAGGAGGGAGATGGGAGACGTTCTGGGCAGGAGAGGGAGGCTCAGAAGCTGGGCAGGGGAGTGGTGTAAGGTGTGGGGGCGTTGTGGGGCCTGCAGCTTGCCCCAGTCATGGGGTCCCGGATGAACAGAAAGTCAGCTTCTGTGAGAAGCCCCCAGAACCCACACAATCACACAGCACACACAGCCACACCCACATGGCCACACACAACCATGTGATTCATCCACAGCCCTGGATCTCCCTAGCCTGGGAACCCCCACATGCACACCAGAGCCCCCACGGTGATCGGAGCTGGTCTCCCTCACGTGGCACACAGACCGGGCACACAGCCACGCAGACACCTCAGTCTCACACGCACTGCCGCACGCACAGGCCCCAGCTGGAGCCCAGCAGCAGATACCTGGGGAGGTGGCGAGGGTGCTCTGGGGTCGCCACTCCTGGGTGCCCGGCCCCTCGGCCCTCCCCAGCAGCCTGTCTTCCCCAAGGGACCGGATGGTTCTCAGGAGGGGAACGATGGTGTCACTGCCTTCCGGGTGATTGCACCACAGGCCCCTTCCGACCACGTGGCTGCTGGTGCCCCACTGGGGGGGGTGGTAAGCGGTAACTACACCCGCCCCCAACACCTCTGACAGGCTCACAGCATCCCTGGGGAGGCTGACAGAGGAGCCACTTATGGAGAGAGGAGGGAGGCATGGGAGGTCAGGGAGAGCCCTGGCCTTGTGTGACCTAGGCAGGCCCTTCTCCTGTAACTTGGTTTGCCTGTCAGAAAAATGGGGTCATGGGCTGGAAGGTCTTCCAAACTGTTCCAGGCTGCGCACCTGGTTGAAAAGGCAGCCTCTCCTGCTTCTAGACAGAGCTGAGGGCACCAGCTGTTCCCGGGCTGCCTGCCCTGAAGCCCTCCCAGGCCCATCTACCTGGATGGCCAGAGCGGCTGACAAGGCAGGGTCCTAGGGCAGTGGCCGGTCCTCAGCCCAGAGGTCTCACAGGGAGCCATTCCCACCTTGCCGAGAGTCAGCTCCTGAGGTTAGAACCATGCAGGTTTTGGGCTCCAGCCGGGTGCTGCAGCCTCTGCTCAAAGACCTGTTAGGGAAATCGCAGCCACTGTCTTGGTCCCTCCAAGGGAGGGAGTGGCTGCTGTGTCAGGCCGTGGGCAGTGACTTACTGGGGAGATAATGGTGGCCGTGCTGGGCACGCCTGTGCGCATACACAGTGCCCCGCCCCCACCTTCAACTACAAAGTCTGGGATGAAGAGATGCACCTTTCAAGGCTCTCCTGAAGCCCCTCCCCAAGGCTCCCATCTGTGGCTCTCCTTGCCAAGTCAGGTGACACCCTCTTCTCTCCCTAGGTCTGGTCCTCACACTCCTGTTCCCAAGCATGGCAGCTCTGGGCAGCTGCTCGAAAGAGTACAATGCGCTACTGGAACAGCTCCAGAAGCAGACGGATCTCATGCAGGACACCAGCAGCCTCCTGGACCCCTATGTAAGCACTTGGGCCCCCGTGGTGTCTCAGTGTCAGCGAACTGTGAGGTCAGGAAGGGAGTGAGACGCAAGGAGGACAGGCCCAGCCCCACTCCATGTGGGCAGGTGGGGAACTGAGCCCTTGCATTATTCTAGCCTTAACCCTGAGGAGCTAAGGCTGCCCCCCAGCTTCCCTAGCTCCGTGGTCCTGGGGCGGGACTCCAGACACCATTGCCATGCTCATCTGCTTATTTCGTGTGTTTCCTGCACACCTGGCAGGCTCTGGTCTGGGCACTGGGACGCAGCAGTGAGGAAGACAGAGTGCAGCCCTTCTGAAGCTTCCCATTCCCCATAGGCATCCCACCAGCCCCAACATCCCTCTGACTTTGCCTGCAGTGATCTTGGGGTCCTCTTCCCTCTCAGGCCTCAGTTTCCGGATCCATCCAGCGGGGACATTGGATAGGGGTGCATGAGGTCTAGCATTTCAAGGCTGGCTCATCTATGAGTGTGGTCCGAGTCCTCAGCATTCACCCTGTGATCCTCCTGTTCCCCCCAGATACGTATCCAAGGCCTGGATGTTCCTAAACTGAGAGAGCACTGCAGGGAGCACCCTGGGGCCTTCCCCAGCGAGGAGGACCTGCAGGGCCTGGGCAGGCGGGGCTTCCTGCAGACCCTCAATGCCACACTGGGCCATGTCATGGAAAGACTGGCTGCCTTAGAGCAGCAACTCCCCAAGGCCCAGGACTTGAAGAGGTCCAGGCTGAACACCGAGGACTTGGAGAAGCTGCAGATGGCGAGGCCGAATGTCCTCGGGCTCAGAAACAATGTCTACTGCATGGCGCAGCTGCAGGACATCTCAGACACAAATGAGTCCACCATAGCCGGCCGGGGGACCTCCCAGCTGCCTGTCCCTGTCCCAGCCTCGGATTCTTTTCAGCGCAAGCTGGAGGGCTGCAGGTTTCTGCACGGCTACCACCGCTTCATGCACTCAGTGGGGCGGGTCTTCAGCAAGTGGAGGAAGAGCCCGAGCCGGAGCCGGAGACACAGCCCCCGGCGGGCCCTGCGGAAGGAGGTGCGCAGGACCAGACCCTCCAGGAGAGGCAAGAGACTCATGCCCAAGGGGCAGCTGCCCCGATAGCCTCGGGAGCACCCCTTGCCAGTGAAAGATGCGGCAGGTGCTCTGCGGATGAGGAACCGTTGCAGGATGATGCCTCCGGGCTCCCCAAACCTGTTTCCCTCTACTACTCACCGCTGGGAAGTGCACTTTAAGAGGTGGGAGCTGGGCAGAGTCTTTGTACCTCCTCCAGGCTGGGGGACAGAGTCAGGCTGTTGTGCCCCCTGGTTCCAAGTTCTCCAGGCCCAGTGGGGTGGCCAGGAGGTCCACGTGGGGCCAACTTTCCATTGATTCAGGGGTCTGATGACACAGGCTGACTCATGGCTGAGCTGACTGTCCCCCTGCCTTGCTGCCCGAGGCCGGCTGGTCCTTCCCTCTCATGACTTGCAGGGACGTTGCCCCCAGACTTCCTCCTTTCCGTGGTTCTGAAGAGGAGGTCACAGCCTGAGCTGGCCTCCTATGCCTCATCACATCCCAAGCCAGACACCTGGATGTCTGGGTGACCTCACTTTAGGCAGCTGTAACAGCAGTAGGGTGTCCTGGGAGTCCTGATCTGTGGGTCCAGGGAATGGAGCTCAGGTCCCAGCCCAGCCCAGCCCCATGTGACCTGGGGCAGGTCACTTTACCTCTCTGGACCTGTTTTCTGTTTGTGAAGCTAGGGAGTTAGAGGCTGTACCCCCACCGCCTGTCGGTTGCTGGGATACCCTGACGTAGGGTGGATATCAAAATCCCTGTAAATCGGGACATATGATGCAAATGGCCCTGGGAGGTGTACACGGAGCTCTCTGTAGGAGACCCACCTCCCAGCGCCGGGAAGCCCCTGTCTTCGGTCCTCGCTGCTGGCTGCTCCCCCTGGTGGTGGATCCTGGAATTTTCTCACGCAGGCGCTCTTGCCCTCCTAGAGGAGGGTCTCAGAAGCTGCGAGGCCAATTCCTTGAAGGGACATGTCTAATTTATCGATTTCTATCAATTTTTATCAGTTTTATATTTATAAGGCTTATTTATAATGTATATTTAATGTTAATATTGTGCAAACATATATTTAAAACTTGCCTGGTTTCTAAAGTCTCTGTGTCTCTTGATTGTCTTGGGGGAGAGGATTTGGGGTGGGGGAAAGGCAGCCTCTTAGAGAGGGGAGGGCCCCTAGGTGGCAAGGCCAAAAGCGTCCATGCTTTGGGGATGGGCTAGAGGTCCTTGCTCTGCCCAGGAGGGGAAGTCACATGCCCCAGCCGCCGGGGGCTGTGACTGTGGTGGGGTGGGGTGTCAAACTCAGACAAGTCATTGGTTATGGCCGGAATGGGGCTCCCTTGACACACTGGGGAAGGGGGGGTGTCAAGACGTGTTAGTAAGAGGGGAGGAAGAAAGGCTTGAGTGTGTGGGCTGCTTCTGAGCTCCCGGAGGCTGTGTGGCTGAGGTCTGTGTGCTGATGTCTGTTGCATGCTAATGTGTGTTATATACCAATGTGTGTTGCATGTATCACCTCATCTTGAAGCCTGGATGTTAGTGTCCTAATGGAGGCTTATGTCTGTATCTATATTTATGTGTGTGTGCGGGCATGGATACCTTGGTGCGTCTCTGCGGACGTGTCTGTGCACGTGTAAACTCAGGTGTCTGCCAGTGTGTCCTCTTATATGTGTCTATGTTCCTGGATCACCCTGGGTGGGGGGGGCACTGGCACATCCGGTGCCTGGAACATGGAAGGTGCCCTAGGCATTTGTGGAATGACTCAAAGACTGAGTTCACAGCTACACCCCTGCCACCAGCATCCTGCCTGAGGTGCAGTGAGCATGCCACAGACACGAGGAATGGCTGTGTGCATAGGAATGAAGACACTTGGCTGGGCTCGAAATCCTGCCTCAGCCCCGTTCCGTCTACCGGAATGACCTTTGGAAAATTCCTTAATGTCTCTGAGCCTTTGTTTCCTCATCTGTGGAATAAACAAAAGAATTACAGATCCTGCCTCAGACAGGGCCAGTGACCTGGTTTGTGCTTAAAACTGCTTCCTGAGGAACTCAAAGGGTTAGGGTTTCCATCTGAGCCCCCAAAACCCGGCTCCTCCCAAATTCCCAGGTGAGCACATATAGGCCGTAGACGTGCTGAGGCAAAGGTTCCCAGAAGCAGGTGAGCTTGACTTGGATGGGTCCCTGGCCAACCTCACTTCCTGAAATGGCAAATAGAGCTGGGGATGGTATGGGAACAAGGGACTTGACAGCAGGGTGGAGGAGAGCCAGTGCAGAGCTCCCCGTAATAGACATGATACATTTTGCAGATGAGAAGACTGAGGCTCAGAGAGTCTGAGTGGCCTGCCCACATCCTCAGACCAAATTAACCGGGGATGGGCACAGTTTGAATTCAGGATTGTGGGACTCCTGGGTGTGAACATCTTCCTGGTACTCCTCTTCCTCTGTAACTTGGCTGACAATGTCATGAGTTCCTGAAGGCAAAGGGCAAGGGGCAGACAGACAATCGACAGGCACAGGGACGAAAACAGGAGGATCTGAGATTGCAGTATGAGCTCAGCAAAAATAAGCAGGGTGATGTAACAGACAGCGGGAGAGCCAGGCGCTGCGAGTGGTCAGGGTGGCATCTGGAGAGGTGACGTCCACACTGTGGTCTGAGTGACGTGCAGATGGGGAGGTGGGAAGAGCTAGGGCAAAGGCTCTGAGCATTCAGGGAGCAGAGTGCCATGAGTGAGGGCATCAGGATTTACCCAAAGGCCCAGAGAGAGGAAGCATCTTGCTTAAGGTCACAGAACAAAGTAGTACAGGGCTAAGGCTAGAACTCTGGGCCCTAACTCCCAACCTGCAGTCTTCCTGGGCAGCTGCCCCACACATTCCAGTCTATTTAGCAAGTACCTAGCAAGGGCCCACTGGGCTCCCTGTCGCCCCCAGGGCTTCTACCGCAATGGCTGTCTTTTAGCTCCCCAAATGCCTGGGGCTCCTTCCTAACACGGGGTTTCTTCCTGTGCTGCTTCCTCTGCCTGGAATGCTGCTTCCCATCCTTTTTGTCAAGTGAGCTCCTTCCTTGTCAGACCTCAGCTTGAGTTGCATCCTCAGCAATTCTTCCCACCTGTCCAGGGTCTGGGTCCAGGAACTTGGTTGCGCCATTCCTTCCGGCAGCACTCACTCTGTGTGATGTTAACACTCCCGACAGCATCTCCTATTAGCTCAGAGGATGGAGACCAAGTCTGCTTTGCTCCATGCTGTCCCTGCATCCACAGGTGCCTGGCACACAGTAGGCGCTCAAGGAGGAGCAGGACAGGCGGGGCCCTGCTTCCCAGCCCCAAGGAGAAGACAGAGGCCAGTGTGTCGCTGGGGGAAGCAGAGGCACCGAGGTGCGCACCAGGGAGCCCGCCCTAGACAGGTGCCACCCCTAGGCCTGGCCTGCTTCAGGCCCCGCCAACAGCAATGAGGCGGCCCTCACTTGTGTCTCCCTGCCTCAGCTGGGGGAAAGGGATTGCCTCAACCTCAGCTCCTGGGAAGCTGTGGGTGGGAGGTGGCAGACACCCAAAGCCAGGCATACTCTGGTTCCTGGAGCAGAAGGGAAGTGGGTACTGTGGCTGACGCTGGGGTTGCCCTCCGGGAGGGCAGAGGTTGGCCTGTGGAGGAAGAGCTGGGAAGCCCAGTGTGGCTGCCCCTGACCCCTGGCCAGCCCCACCTCCCCCGGCCCAGGAGGGGTGTCTGAGGCTGACTTTGAACTAGAGCACACCCTCTCCACAGGAAACAGATGAGGGAGCTTGACTCTTGGGAGGGGGTCTCAGGTGCACGGTCTGTGAGGACTTGTCACTCCCATAACATCACCTGAGGAGTCACTTTGCAGGCAACCCGAAACCACCACCTGCAGTCTGATTCCTCCCAAGCCCAGTTCCTGCAGACCCAGCTGCCAGGATCATCTCCTGGCTTAGTGGGTGCCCTGAAGCCAAACTCACCACTCTGCTGCAAACCGACACTTGCTTTCTGCTTCTCATTTGCCCCCACTGCAGTTCCAGAATCCCAGCCCATTGCCTTTCTCTCCCTCGGCCCTTCCTCTCCCATCCGTCACTCGGTCCTGTGGTTTCTCCCATATCCGTCGCTTGTAGGCCACTCCTCTCTCCATCGCCTGCCAGTCTGGCTCCCTGGACACAGAGTAAAAATATCGCTATCATCTTGTCTTCTCCTGCTGGCAAACCTTCCAAAACTCCCTCCTGTTCTAGTGCACAGAGCATCCATTCCAAACCCCTGGCTGCAGCACCTGAGGCCCCCAGCTCTCAGGCACGGCCCACTTTGCCAGGTCGTCTCTGCATTCGACCCACCTTCAGCTGCTCCCACCCCTGCACACAACCTGAGCTCCCTATTCCCCTCCACTCTTTCTCCCCTGCCCCTTTGGAGAAACAGGGTCTCGCTCTGTCACCCTGGCTGGAGGGCAGTGGCATGATTGTGGCTGACTGCAGCCTTGACCTACTGGGCTCAAATGATCCTCCCATCTAAGCCTCCTGGGTAGCTGGGACTACAGGCACGCACCACCATGCCTAACTTTTCAATTTTTTTGTAGAGACGGGGTCTTGCTATTTTGCCCAGGCAGGTCTCGAACTCATGGCCTCAAGCAACCTTCCCACATTGGTCTCCCAAAGTGCTGGGATTACAGGCATCAGCCTCTGCACCTGACCCCCTTCCCACTTCTTACATCCTCCTGCCCTTGGGGCTAAGCGCAGATGCCCCCACCTCTGTGATTCCCCACCCAGAGGGGTCTGTGGGCCTGCCCTGGTGTGTGGGTGGCTCTCAGAGTGCCACTGTGGAGCTTCCTTCAGCCACAGGTGGAACTGGGCCCCATCCAATCACCCTGCCACCCACAGCACGGACTTCGGCATGACGGGTCCCCACACTCATCCACTGTGATCCCCATCCACTGGGAGAGGCAGCAGGTTGGGGCCTTGTGAGCAACTACTTTGTTGCCACCACGTGAGCTGACGCTCTGCTAGGCACGTTTCCCCCAGGGGGACGAGGCCTTCAGAGCCTACAAACAAGTGTGTGCTCCACCCCCACCAACTCATATAAAGGACAAAGTGGTCACGGGCAGCGGTCCACTGGCACTGGGCTAAGGAAGAAAAAGAGACGCCGGTGTAGTCCAGCCGCCGAATCCGCGTGAAGCAGGGTTCTCTTTTCTTTGTTACGTTTTTTAGGGTGGCGGTCCAGGAGTCTCAGTTCACGCTGCACGGTGCACACGTGGGTTAAAAGTTCCCTAGGACAGCAAAACCACGGGAAAAGGCGGGGAGGGGTCCTGGTGCGTTTTGTTAATCTATGGAACGAACTCTTAGCCTGGAAACAGCAGAGCCAGGATGCCAACCCAGACTCCCTTGTCCTCTGTGACCTTAGACTCTTTGCTGCAGGTTTTCATGTGATTTTTTTCTTCCCAGGGATGAGTTTCAAATACTTTAGAATTATGCAAAAGGAGTCAGACCTCAGCCCCCTAGCTGGGTACCCTGCCCGGGCTAAGCCTCAGTTTCCCCTCTGTACAATGGGGCCAACTTGGCCTACCTCCCAGCTGTGAAGAAGATTCCCTGAGAAACACACAGGCACGATGTTGACGGCAGGGCCGTCCCTGAGCTGGTGTGGCCGAGGCTCTCTCTCTTATTTCCCCTTTCCCTCCTTAGTGGTTTTCTTTCTTCTCTCTTTGTCCCCATTCTGTCACCTGCCCTGCCTGCCGCCCACCCTCCACCCAAGGGCTGGGATGTGGGGTGCCCACAAAAGCCCTTTTTTCAGTGCAAAGGAAGGGTCACAGTCCATGCTCCTTTGGAGCAGGGAGGCCCTCCCAAGGCTGGCCGGGCTCCCTGCGTCTCAGGACGTCGGAGGGCTGGGCTCAGGGAGGGGCGAAGGTCTCTGAGGGAGGGGGTTGGGCAGGCGTGGCCCTGGAGCCTGTGTCGAGGGTGGATCAGATGGGCCAGGTGGTGCCCCAGGCTCAGAGGTGGGTGCTGGGGCAGGGAGTGGTGGCCTAGGAGGGGGCCTGATGTCTTGGAAGGGCTACAGCCCTGTGACTTTTGTGGGGACAGGGACAAGGGGAGGCTGGTTGTGCTGCACACGGCCTGTGGC